ATTATTTGCTGCTTATCTCTTCCAGTCTATGCTGAATTCTAATTGCCAAATAAATTATCAGAATTTATGACCTAAATGCAGTTTTAAACACAAATATTAATTCTCTTATTAGACAGGCACTCTATGTACATATGTACATAACAAGATCTTAAGAAACCACCAGTTGCAATTCAAAGTCATTGACGTTATATAAAAACTTAAAGAATACCATTAAATAAACATCATCATAAACTAACTAACCAAACGATACAAACCACAACTGGAGGGAAACAAACTTTAAAGAACTGGAACTGATAAGCATGATTGATTGATCGGTCGTTCGTACGTTTAATTGTAAGTAATGCTGATGAAGATGAATGGACATTGGGTGACAAATATCTATATAAATAAATAAGCGAAATCGGCAGACAATTAATGCGTTAAGATAAATTACTAGTTTGAGTGTTTACTATAATCTGAGTAATTTTATTGTAAACATGGAGGCAATTCTGAAAGTATAATGTAAATAAAGAGGAAAATAAATAACAGAAAGGTTTCGAATGGAAACAGTGGAATAGTAATTGTTTTGATTTCATAGTGGGAGTTACTAACTAACTAACTAACTAACTAACTAACTAACTACTAACTACTAACTAACTAACTACTAACTACTACTAACTACTAACTAACTAACTAACTAACTAACTAACTAACTAACTAACTAACTAACTAACTAACTAACTAACTAACTAACTAACTAACTACTAACTACTACTAACTAACTAACTAACTACTAACTAACTAACTAACTAACTACTAACTAACTAACTAACTAACTAACTACTAACTAACTAACTAACTAACTAAACTAACTCTAACTAACTAACTACTAACTAACTAACTAACTACTAACTACTACTAACTAACTAACTAACTAACTAACTAACTACTAACTAACTACTAACTAACTAACTAACTACTAACTAACTAACTAACTACCTTAACTAACTAACTACTAACTACAACTAACTAACTAACTACTAACTAACTAACTAACTAACTACTAACTACTAACTAACTAACTAACTAACTAACTAACTACTACTAACTAACTACTAACTAACTAACTAACTAACTAAACTAACTACTACTAACTAACTAACTAACTCTAACTAACTAACTAACTAACTAACTAACTACTAACTAACTAACTACTACTACTAACTAACTAACTACAACTAAACTACTAACTAACTAACTAACTAACTAACTAACTAACTAACTACTACTAACTAACTAACTAACTAACTAACTAACTAACTAACTAACTAACTAACTAACTAACTAACTAACTAACTAACTAACTAACTAACTAACACTAACTAACTAACTAACTAACTAACTACTAACTAACTAACTAACTAACTAACTACCTAACTACTAACTAACTACTAACTAACTAACTAACTAACTAACTAACTAACTAACTAACTAACTAACTAACTACTAACTAACTAACTAACTACTACTAACTAACTAACTAACTAACTAACTACTAACTAACTAACTAACTAACTACTAACTACTACTAACTAACTAACTAACACTACTACTAACTAACTAACTAACTAACTAACTAACTAACTAACTACTAACTACTAACTAACTACTAACTAACTAACTAACTACTAACTAACTAACTAACTAACTAACTAACTAACTAACTAACTAACTAACTAACTAACTAACTAACTAACTAACTAACTAACTAACTAACTACTAACTAACTAACTAACTAACTAACTACTACTAACTAAACTAACTACTAACTAACTACTACTAACTAACTAACTAACTAACTAACTAACTAACTAACTAACTAACTACTAACTAACTAACTAACTACTAACTACTAACTAACTAACTAACTAACTAACTAACTAACTAACTAACTAACTAACACTAACTAACTAACTAACTAACTAACTAACTAACTAACTAACTAACTAACTAACTAACTAACTAACTAACTAACTAACTAACTAACTAACTAACTAACTAACTAACTAACTAACTACCTAACTAACTAACTAACTAACTACTAACTAACTAACTACTAACTACTAACTAACTCTAACTAAACTAACTAACTAACTAACTACTACTAACTTACTACTAACTAACTAACTACTACTACTAACTACTAACTAACTAACTAACTAACTAACTAACTAACTAACTACTAACTAACTAACTACTACTAACTAACTACTACTAACTAACTAACTAACTAACTAACTACTAACTAACTACTAACTAACTAAAAGCAAATTTTTTCAAAACTTATTTTTATTGCAACTTGGCTCCATATAACTAATAATGCCGGCCTAATCGTCAAGTTCTAACTAAATATATAAAAAATCGTTAATTTAAATATTTAAGAAAACCAAATAATTTTCAAATTTACACAAGTGTCTTATAATTTTTTATAGAATTTTACAATAATCAAGATTCTACTGTTTTAAAAACAACAGTTTTGTTTGTTGTTTTCAATAAAATTTAAACAAAATATGTAAAAAGATCGTGAGAAAGAGAGGAGAGAGCAAAAAGCGTGTATTGTTATGAGAGGAAATTGATAAGAAATCGAATAATAAACATTTGTAGGTAACAGTATTGTGCCAAAAAATCTAAGAAATAATGTATGTATGCAGCATTTAATCTAACACTAGTATTTAGTAGATAGTATCTAAACATGCACTTGAAAAACCCCTAGATATGAGAGAACTAATGGGCCTTTTGGACGTTTTTCAAAGTACTTATGATAAGTTTTGATATAAACTAGATATAGAATGACACTATACCATACACTAGACTAGACTAAAGACTGGACTATAGACTCGACTAGACTAGACTATAGACTAGACTAATAGACTAGACTATAGACTAGACTATAGACTAGACTATAGACTAGACTATAGACTAGACTATAGACTAGACTATAGACTAGACTATAGACTAGACTATAGACTAGACTATAGACTAGACTATAGACTAGACTATAGACTAGACTATAGACTAGACTATAGACTAGACTATAGACTAGACTATAGACTAGACTATAGACTAGACTATAGACTAGACTATAGACTAGACTATAGACTAGACTATAGACTAGCATAGACTAGACTATAGACTAGACTCTAGACTAGACTATAGACTAGACTATAGACTAGACTATAGACTAGACTATAGACTAGACTATAGACTAGACATAGACTAGACTAGACTATGACTAGACTATAGACTGACTATGACTAGACTATAGACTAACTATAGACTAGACTATGACTAGACTATAGACTAGACTATAGACTAGACTATAGACTAGACTATAGACTAGACTATAGACTAGACTATAGACTAGACTATAGACTAGACTATAGACTAGACTATAGACTAGACTATAGACTAGACTCTAGACTAGACTATAGACTATAGACTAGACTATAGACTAGACTATAGACTAGACTATAGACTAGACTATAGACTAGACTATAGACTAGACTATAGACTAGACTATAGACTAGACTATAGACTAGACTATAGACTAGACTATAGACTAGACTATAGACTAGACTATAGACTAGACTATAGACTAGACTATAGACTAGACTACAGACTAGACTATAGACTAGACTAGACTATAGACTAGACTATAGACTAGACTATAGACTAGACTATAGACTAGACTATAGACTAGACTATAGACTAGACTATAGACTAGACTATAGACTAGACTAAAGACTAGACTATAGACTAGACTATAGACTAGACTATAGACTAGACTATAGACTAGACTATAGACTAGACTATAGACTAGACTATAGACTAGACTATAGACTAGACTATAGACTAGACTATAGACTAGACTATAGACTAGACTATAGACTAGACTATATACTAGACTATAGACTAGACTATAGACTAGACTATAGACTAGACTATAGACTAGACTATAGACTAGACTACAGACTAGACTATAGACTAGACTAGACTATAGACTAGACTATAGACTAGACTATAGACTAGACTATAGACTAGACTATAGACTAGACTATAGACTAGACTATAGACTAGACTATAGACTAGACTATAGACTAGACTAAAGACTAGACTATAGACTAGACTATAGACTAGACTATAGACTAGCTATAGACTAGACTATAGACTAGACTATAGACTAGACTATAGACTAGACTATAGACTAGACTATAGACTAGACTATAGACTAGACTATAGACTAGACTATAGACTAGACTATAGACTAGACTATAGACTAGACTATAGACTAGACTATAGACTATAGACTAGACTATAGACTAGACTATAGACTAGACTATAGACTAGACTATAGACTAGACTATAGACTAGACTATAGACTAGACTAGACTATAGACTAGACTAGACTATAGACTAGACTATAGACTAGACTAGACTATAGACTAGACTAGACTATAGACTAGACTATAGACTAGACTATAGACTAGACTATAGACTAGACTATAGACTAGACTATAGACTAGACTATAGACTAGACTATAGACTAGACTAGACCATAGAATAGACTATAGAATAGACTATATACTAGACAATAGACTAGACTAGACTATAGACTAGGCTAGACTAGACAATAGAATAGACTATTGAATAGACTATGGAATAGACTATAGACTAGACTATAGACTAGATTAAAGACTAGACTATAAACTAGACTATAGACTATACTATAGACTAGACTTAAATTAATCTTTTTGAACTTTGGTACCTTTTATTTTGGAATATTTTCAAAAAGTACTAATTTCTACGATAGTACCCATTTGCATTTTTATCTCTTGTCTTAAAAAAAAAACAACAAACTTGGATTTGTTGCTGTGAATATCTAACATTTTACGCTCACACATTGATCTTCATAACGTTGTGTGTTAGTCGGTTAAGTAACGTCGCACTGTTAAGATCGTTACTCTTCAGGCGGTACGTAGTCAAAGAGTAAAACTCCAACTTAACAATAAAGTTATTGTTGGTGGTTGTTGTTTTTTTTGAAACGGTTTCATTTGCTTTGAAAAAAATAAAGATTACGAGTTTAAAATTTAATTTGTTTTATATTAAATGTGTTAATAGTTGAATTAATTAATTTGTTTAAATAAATTGTTTATTTTAATTTGTTATTTTGTTTTTTGACCGTCTTTAGACATGCATTTCAATATAATTTTGGCATTTATTGCCATTTATGGTTTAAGTGTAACGCAGGCGGGAGTTATTAAAGCCCCACAAACGCCCTGGGATTTGATAGAAGCAATTAGAGCTACATCACAAATTCGTGGTTTAATGGAACTTGGATAACAGGTGGGTTGAATATGTTAAAATCTAGAATAATTAAAAACCTTTTAAAACAAATCTAAACTGTCTTTATAAGGTTATAGTTAATATGTAAATTTTGATTAGACCCACCACAGAGTTTGATAAAAAGTTAATTATTTATTTAAAAATCTCTTTAAAGAGTACTTCAAAATCAAGTCGGTTAAGGTCGTACATATTATGTAAAAGAAATCAGAGAGCTCTTACTAAATATTAATATTTCTTGGGAAATTTCCAATAATCAGGAAATCAGCAAAGCGAATCAGGAATTCAAGGAATTTGTTATAAATAAAAAAAACAACATTTCGCTATAAAATAAAGCAAAAAATTAAAACAATTGTCAATTTTATAATCAAACAATCAAAGATCTTATAGAGCTTAAGCAGAAGGGACCCAGAAAGCTTGAAATTAAAAAGACATATTTTTTCATTTAAATTCTTTAAATCAGCGGAAATGCCAATAAATACCTTTCTCAAAAAAAACTATATCAATATTTTCCTTATGCAATTTAAGATAAGATTTCTTTAGCACTCTAGTTTCATTCTATTAAAAGATCTTATCATCAAATATGTTTTCAATAAAATAAAACTTTAAATCTAATCTAAATAGTAAGAATTCAATAGTCATTAAAAATTGGAAATCTATATACTTTAGTACCTCTATATAAATAGTACACCAAGTTAACTGTCAAAATGACAGCTTATCTTTCAAAATAACAATCAGTTATTATAAATGCTTATGACCGTAAAAATAACAATATTATTTATTACTTTAACAAACACACAATTAGTTAGTTTTAACCGTAAAGGTGTTTTTTATAAGAATGGTTAAGTTTTCTTTACTTACGATAATTTTACGCACCACATATGATGTAAACCATATAATTGTTTACATTTAAGTAAAATTAATCTTAGGTATGTAAACAATAAAAGTTGCGGTTTCTATTTGGAAAATTAGAAAACAAAGAAAAGAAAAATTACAATGACGATTTGAAATGTAGAAAGATAAATGGGTTAATCTAAAGATCTTGGAGGAAATTTGAACTAAAGAGAAAGTTAAATTAATTAGGTACAGAGTCAGAAATTTTATCAAAAATATAGTGATTAATTAAGATAACTGAACCAGAACTGACGTAGAACTGAACTAGAACTGAACTAGAACTGAACTAGAACTGAACTAGAACTGAACTAGAACTGAACTAGAACTGACTGAACTGAACTAGAACTGAACTAGAACTGAACTAGAACTGAACTAGAAACTGAACTAGAACTGAACTAGAACTGAACTAGAACTGAACTAGAACTGAACTAGAACTGAACTAGAACTGAACTAGAACTGAACTAGAACTGAACTAGAACTGAACTAGAACTGAACTAGAACTAGAACTGAACTAGAACTGAACTAGAACTGAACTAGAACTGAACTAGAACTGAACTAGAACTGAACTAGAACTGAACTAGAACTGAACTAGAACTGAACTAGAACTGAACTAGAACTGAACTAGAACTGAACTAGAACTGAACTAGAACTGAACTAGAACTGAACTAGAACTGAACTAGAACTGAACTAGAACTGAACTAGAACTGAACTAGAACTGAACTAGAACTGAACTAGAACTGAACTAGAACTGAACTAGAACTGAACTCGAACTGAACTAGAAACTGAACTAGAACTGAACTAGAAATCTGAACTAGAACTGAACTAGAACTGAACTAGAACTGAACTAGAACTGGAACTAGACTGAACTAGAACTAACTAGAACTGACTAGAACTGAACTAGAACTGAACTAGAACTGAACTAGAACTGAACTAGAACTGAACTAGAACTGAACTAGAACTGAACTAGAACTGAACTAGAACTGAACTAGAACTGAACTAGAACTGAACTAGAACTGAACTAGAACTGAACTAGAACTGACTAGACTGAACTAGAACTGAACTAGAACTGAACTAGAACTGAACTAGAACTGAACTAGAACTGAACTAGACTGAACTAGAACTGAACTAGAACTGAACTAGAACTGAACTAGAACTGAACTAGAACTGAACTAGAACTGAACTAGAACTGAACTAAACTGAACTAGAACTGAACTAGAACTGAACTACTGAACTGAACTGACTAGAACTGAACTAGAACTGAACTAGAACTGAACTAGAAACTGAACTAGAACTGAACTAGAAACTGAACTAGAACTGAACTAAACTGAACTAGAACTAGAACTGAACTAGAACTGAACTAGAACTGAACTAGAACTGAACTAGAACTGAACTAGAACTGAACTAGAACTGACTAGAACTGAACTAGAACTGAACTAGAACTGAACTAGAACTGAACTAGAACTAAAACTGAACTAGAACTGAACTAGAACTGAACTAGAACTGAACTAGAACTGAACTAGAACTGAACTAGAACTGAACTAGAACTGAACTAGAACTGAACTAGAACTGAACTAGAACTGAACTAGAACTGAACTAGAACTGAACTAGAACTGAACTAGAACTGAACTAGAACTGAACTAGAACTGAACTAGAACTGAACTAGAACTGAACTAGAACTGAACTAGAACTGAACTAGAACTGAACTAGAACTGAACTAGAACTGAACTAGAACTGAACTAGAACTGAACTAGAACTGAACTAGAACTAGTCTCGAACTGAACTAGAACTGAACTAGAACTGAACTAGAACTGAACTAGAACTGAACTAGAACTGAACTAGAACTGAACTAGAACTGAACTAGAACTGAACTAGAACTGAACTAGAACTGAACTAGAACTGAACTAGAACTGAACTAGAACTGAACTAGAACTGAACTAGAACTGAACTAGAACTGAACTAAAACTGAACTAGAACTGAACTAGAACTAGAACTGAACCAAAACTGAACTGATAATTTCTATGGAAAAATTTCTATTTTTTTTCACTTTTTACGTATTTTCAGATGAAGAATTTTATTACACTGCCACTGATAGATCCATACACAAGTTCAATGCTGCCACCGGTAGTGATTCGATTTTTGTTACCTCAGATTTTTTGGTAAGCTAATCATTCAAAATTTGTTAGAAAAATGAGAGATAAAAGTCGCTTTACTCTCTTCACAGAACATTTACAATCGCAGCAGTTCCTTTAAATTATCCCCCGATAATACTAAAATCCTAGTACGTTACGATGTCGAAGAGATCTTCAGACATTCTTTTATAGCGAAATATGATGTCTTCGATATTGCCACGCGTAGTGCCATCAAAATCCATAATGGCGAAAAATTGCAATATTGTGGTTGGTCCCCGGTTAAGGATCGTTTGGCTTATGTTTACAATAACAATGTTTTCATACATTTTGGTGAAAATTTGGAAGTACAAATCACATCGGATGGCATTGATGGTGTTTTCTATAATGGTATACCCGATTGGGTGTATGAGGAGGAGGTGTTGAGTAGTGGCTCTGCCATGTGGTGGTCCGATGATGGCAATTATTTGGCTGTAGGTGTTTTCGATGATACCAATGTGGAAACTTTTAAATATTTCATATATGGTGAGGCTGAAGATCCCTTGTATCAATATCCCAAAGAGGTGGATTTGAAATATCCCAAACCGGGTACAAATAACCCAGTGGTGGCTTTGAGAGTTTTCGATTTGAGTTTGGATCCTAACTATGTGACCATTAAGGCTCCCGTAGAGGTGGTGAGCAGTGATCATATTTTACAAAGTGTTGCCTGGACTAGTGATCGCAAACTGTTGATCACTTGGTTGAATAGACGTCAGAATATTGCCAGTTTACAGTTGTGCGCTGTGTCAGGAGAATGCGTGGAGGTTAAACGTATTGAAGAGCCTAAAGGTTGGGTAGCCATTGGCAATCCTATATGCTTAAAGAATAGTGAAAATTGTTTGTTCAGTTATTGGATTGATAACTGGTATCAAGTATGGAATTTAGATTTGAAAACTGGTCAAAATATTTGGCGTTCTCTGGGAGAGTTTACTGTCTTGAAGGTTTATGGTTATGATGAAGAAAATGATAAACTGTAAGTAGAGAAAGAATGACTTTTTATCCGATAATAACGGATACTTTTATGTATTTTCAGATACTACCAGGCCACTTTGGAAAGTGATCCTTCCGTTTATCATGTGTTCAGTAATAAAGATTGTTTAACTTGCAATTTGCTGGATGTTGAGGGCGTAGCCTGTCGTTCAGCTGCTGCTGCCTTTAGTAAAAGTTACTCCTATTATACTGTTTCCTGCAGTGGACCCAATCCCAGCTATACCAAAATTTTCGCCACAAAGACCAACACTGAAGTCAAAAATTGGGAAGATAATCAGGCTTTCCGCGTCAAGTTGGCTTCAAAACTTAGGCCTGAAATTAAATTTTTGAAAGTTCCTTTAGCTGATGGTTCCATAGGTATGGCCAAAATTCAATTTCCTCCAAATTTAGATACCAACAAAAAATATCCCATGATTATTTTTGTCTATGGTGGACCGAACTCGGTGAAAATCACTAATGGTTTTGTTGTGGGTTTTGATGCCTATATGACCACCAATCGTGAGGTTATCTATGTGCAAGTGGATGGTCGCGGTACCGGTAATAAGGGTAAAGATTTACTATTTTCTGTCAACAATCATTTGGGTGAATTTGAGGTTGAGGATCAAATTCATGTTACGAAATATTTACAAGAGAAATACACTTTTATTGATAAAGATCGTTGTGGTATTTGGGGTTGGAGTTATGGTGGTTATATGACAGCCCGCACTTTGGCCAATGATACCGAAAGAGTATACCAATGTGGCATTTCAGTGGCCCCCGTAACATCTTGGTTCTACTATGACACCATTTATACCGAACGTTATATGGGTTTGCCGACTGAAAATCTGAAGAAATATTTGGATACCAGTGTTTTGGAACAAGTTCATAACTTCCGTAATCATGACTTTATGTTGATTCATGGTTCGGGTGATGACAATGTCCACTATCAACAGTCTTTGATGTTGGCCAAGGTCTTACAGGCTCATGATATCTTGTTTGAGGAAATGGTAGGTCTTTCTCTCTCGCCTTTCGTGTTAAATAACAACTCTTAATAAATTTTCTTCTTCTTTTTAGACTTACACCGATGAAAACCATTCTATTGGTAATTTCTTGCCTCATTTGTATAATACTATGGATCATTTCTGGATCAACTGTTTAAATTGGATGTCGAGGAGGAAGATTAAAACCTGTTTTTTAAGTTTTTAGTCTTATGTTTGATACAAATTTATAGTATTCCTTATTTTCCTTGATATGTTTACAGAATTTTACATTTAATTATTTAAACTTTATTATATATTTTTTTAATTTAATACTAAAGTAAAGCTGATATTTTGTGATGAAGAAATGAAATTTAATTGAAGAAGTTGAATTGGCATATTTTATCATTGGTAAGATATATAAGATTTAAAGATCCTTAAAGAACTAATTGGACGTTTAAGCTCTGGGAGGCCGACGCCCTAAAACAAAGATATCATTGCTCAAACATATTGCGTATTATTTTCAAAACTAAATTAGTTTAAAATCTTCTGTGTCTAGTTCTGTCCTGCTTCTAGTTCTTGTTCTGTTCTAGTCTGTTCTAGTCTGTTCTAGTTCTGTTCTAGTTCTGTTCTAGTTCTGTTCTAGTTCTGTTCTAGTTCTGTTCTAGTTCTGTTCTAGTTCTGTT